ATGCATAATTTACTGTTATTACTATAGTAGTGCAACAAGGACTCATTAAAATTAATGTGATTACGAAATATTGTAATATGAGTAAAAGTAAAACTTAGGGATGCTCATATTGACTGTTTAACCACTAACCGAATGTAAGAACTTTGACCGATTAATACTATCATTTAAACCGTTTGAAAGGTATTTTTAAAATTTTATTTTTATTTTAATTTTTTTTTTTTTAGGTTTGGATAAATGGTTATCAGAGAGTGTATCCGTGAGTGAATGCATTCAAATTCTGAATGGATTATAGCATAGAAAGCGCGCAAAGAGTGCTCCCCTTATAATCACTAAAAAGCTGTCACTCTTTTTAATTCATCTCAATCTCACAAGTTCCAATTTAATATTCGAATCTTATCAGTTAATGGTTAAAGTTTGTATAACGAGCAGTAGGTGTCAGAAAATTTACCTAGCATCCTTAGTAAGGCTCAATAATCTCTTGAAATAATATACCAGGGATGAGTTGGAACAGCAGACTAGATCAGGGTCATATATCGAATATTCACAATACATTTTACTGCTAACATAAAGTTAAGCTACTGTACAGTGTGATTATTACAATGAATGTGCTTTTTATTTGATCATCAGTTTTCCTAAAGAGTGTGTCATTGGACTAGATTCACAGTCCTTCCTTGCCTTGAAAATATGAGTGCTAAGATGTTTGTTTTTTTAACTTCAGTGGAAAAGAAATAGTGGTAATGTACCCTATATGTACCCCTATAAAGAAGTACACTATAGCATACTTTTGAAAAGAGTGCTTGTTACAGAAATAATCTACTTAGGTGTGAACTGAATGTTATGGTTTCGGACACTTATCTACAATTAAATGATAATGTATTATAGGTTAAAGCACACTTAAGTAGCCTTTATTTCATTAATATTATATTATGTCCAAGTACAGTTCTATAAAATTATGCTTTTAAGATTTGAAGTAGACAACAAATGCACGTTTATTACAATTAAGCACTCTTCCTCTTCACAAGGATTGGAATAGTAAGTGAATTTTTTGTGAATCAATTTAAACCCTGTTTTACATCAGTTCATAACTATAAAAAAATACGGTCATCATTTACTCACCCTCATGTCTTTCCAAACCTGTATGACTCAGAACTTGGACTATGGAACATAAAAGAAGATATTTTGAGAAATGCATATTTTCACAGTTTTCCCCCATACAATAGATAACCAATGATAACCAAAAGTGTTTTTTCCCATGCCTAATGCCTTCTTTTGTGTTCTGCAGAAGAAAACATGTCATACAAAGTCATGTGATCTATCCCATTCTGGTATCCCTTGAAAACCAACTAGTCGACTAGTCATTCAGACAGCCCCCAAAATATGTTTCGCACATCCTTATTATACTATATTACATCTAAAAAGCCTTACAGCAGTTAAACCACACTAAGGGTAACTACTATGAGGTAACAAGGAGAAGTAACTATATGACAACTGTAGTTCTTCACTAGCTTGTTTTTCAGTGACATAAATTCAAAGCACACATGCATTACTGTCTACAAAACGCCACCTCTGTCTGATTATAAATAGCTCCTTATCTATGTACTCTTTTTGTAATTTGTATTCCAAGCTTAGCCTACACAATGCTTGACCTCGATATGCTTCAGAAACTCAATTTGCGCTGAAAAATATACCTTAAGTGAAGAACACTCAGCATGCAAATTAGCCCTAAGAGCATATTGATTGCCTGAGGGCAGAATCTCTAAAGGGGAGGGTTGCAGTACATTTTTGTAGAGGAACGACTGCTGCTCATACAAAGGATTCTCTGTAGACCAGCGATTCTATCAAATAATGCTTGATAGACCAAATCCTTAATATGAGCTATCGACTCTTCATCAAACCTAATTAAATTATATTATGATTATTATCCTAAGAGTACACTGGGTCTTTGCATATTTACTTGGGTAATGAACAATGATAACTTACTTGACAATGATTAAAGGGGTCATATGATGCTGCTAAAAATAACATTATTTTGTGTATTTGGTGTAATGAAATGTGTTTATGCGGTTTAAAGTTAAAAAAACACATTATTTTCCACATACTGTAAATTATTGTTTCTCCTCTATGCCCCGCCTTTTTGAAACGCGTCGATTTTTACAAAGCTCATCGATCTGAAAAAGCGAGGTGTGCTGTGATTGGCCAGCTATTCAGTGCATTGTGATTGGCCGAATACCTCAAGTGTGAGACGGAAATGTTACGCCCCTCATCATACTGTTGATGCCGGATCCCGGCCGGGGCGACGAGACAACATTAAAACTCATTAAAAAGGAGGCATTTGTTGCATCCAGTGGGGACATAATTACTGATTATAATGACTTATACTGTCTTTTTACGCGTTGCGTTGCATTGCATCGCGCCGCGTAAACATAAAACTCTGTCTGCATTTGTGATCAGAGGAATG